GACTGACTGACTGACTGAGTTTGGTTTTACGCCGCTTTTAGCAATATTTTAGCAATATTCCAGCAACATCACGGCAGGGGACACCAGAAATGGGCTTCACACATTGTACCAATGTGGGGATTCGAACCCGGGTCTTCGGCGTGACGAGCCAACGCTTTAACCGCTAGGCTACCCCACCACCCTAGATGCATAGACAATGTTTTAACATCATGGGCGACAAGTTAGAGTTCATTAATCCCTTTTTTACTATATCTTTTTTTGCTATATTCCATCTTTGATTCTATTCCAAAGCTCAATTATGAAAGATCAGAGAACTCATATATTATACATTTTCCATAACATAAAGATAATAAACTGAATTAAAAAGAAAAAAAAAAGAGAGATATCACTTGAAATATTTGTGATATTTGTAAATATATTACATATATATTTCATGCATACATTCACTGTATTTTACACACACAAACTGACAATCCTGTATGAAACCAATACACAGACAGTTTAAACAATACAGCAAGGCACTGTTGCTCACCAGCCTCATTCAGAGTTTTAGAGTTTCAGAAGAAAGTCATGTTTCAAGATTCAGATGGTAGATAATATTAGGAAAGATAATCATGTGGAAAGATGAAAGAATTTGTCAAAAAGTGTCTGAAATTGAAGATACATCAATTTTTACAATGTCTTCAACAATAGCCTCAGAGAATAGACATGTTGGTTCAGAAATAGACTCTACATGGTTGTGCACTGTACCCTGAAGGGAAGGTGGGTTAGCCTAATGGTTAAAGCGTCCACTCGTCACACTGAAGACTCGGGTTCGATTCCCCACATGGGTACAATGTGTGAAGCCTATTTCTGGTGTTCCCCCCCCCGTGATATTGTTGGAATACTGCCAAAAGCGGCGTTAAACCATACTCATTCACTCATTCTATATCCTGTCAAATTCTGAAATCAAAACTTTTTTATGCTACACATCCTTAAAAAGAGTATATTGGCCATGAACAAATCTGAAACTCATATTGTGTTGCTGTATTGATATTCCATCTAATTCCTTGACCTTGTGCAGCCTTTTAAACAGATGTGACACTATCTTGCTTTTCAAATACAAAACACACTCACACCTTCTGTGTTTGTTTTGTTTTTTTTTATCGAGGGAAGACATTCATGAACAGACGAACAATATGCCAAGCCATAAACTCACTTGGACAATGAATCCTGGTGAGCATTAACACTGTCCATTAAAACATGAATACAACACTATGGTCAAGTGCAGTGAATGAAGGAAGGTGCAACCATATTGTCAACCAAAGGGAGATAACCCACAACGCTGACATCACTGATGATGAACATGATGGTTGTAATGGCCATATTCCACACACAGGATAAACCATGGACCACTTCCTCAAAACATTTATAGCACCTGACTTCAAGCCCAGATGATTCACTGGGATGTAAACATAGTGCTAGAACTGTCTGCAGCAAGCGTTCCAGGGCGGAAAGAGGAGGCAGCATCAAGCAGGGATTTACTTTGCAGAATCACGATACATACTGATGAAAAATACCATTCCAAATGATAAACAAACTATATGAAAGTAATACAAGCAAATACGTTCAGATATTACTCAAAAGTTAAGGACCCAGCAAGTTTTATATTGCTATAGTTAATCTTAACAACTGATGATTAACAACTTATAGCTACAGTTAATCTGTCATGGCATGAGAATTTAACTACAGTGACATGAAAGAATTAAGTGTTTCTGAACATATTTGAGGAATATCGATTTCAAAACAAGCTATATTTGTTTCCACATGTGATGTCGTCAGGAGTTCTAGGAAGATCAGTAAATTATTAATACGTTCTTTGATTTCTTTAGATGTCAAATATGCAAATATCTGTGACAATAATGTCATTCTACACAAAATAACATGTTACACTGAAATTAATCAGCTTCTTTTCAAACAAATCTTCCCTCCTGAGGACGCCACATGTATAAATCAATCCATCCAGATCTTGTAAGTTCAGAATGCAGAATATTGTCTCTCAAGCATGACTACATAGGCAGCAAGCAATGGTTAGTGATCATGCAAGTGTTAGCTCAGTCAGACCTCAATCTGTCTCTAACACCTGTTATACTGCATTCAACACCTGTACTGTTACATCGTCACACCTGTACTACAACATTTAACACCCGACTGCCCCACTAACAGATGTACTGTACTTCTGCACTTAATACATGTACTGCTGCACTCAACACATGTACTAACGTACTTAAACATCTGTTGTTACCTTCAACACCTGTACTGCCAATCTCATGCACCTGTACAGACCCGTAAAGATCCAGGAAAGAATTAATCTTCAGTAACCCATGCTTGTCGTAAGAGGCGACTAACGGAATCAGGTGGTCAGACTCGCCGACTGGGTTGACACATGTCATCGTATCCCAATTGCGTAGATCGATGCTCACGCTTTTGATCACTGGATTGTCTGGTCCAGACTCAATTATTGACAGACCACCGCCATATAGCTGGAAATGATTGCTGAGTGTGCTGTAACTAAACTCACTCACTCCATACACCTGTACAGGTATGTTTAACACCTCCACAGTTACACTAACCCACTTGTACAGCTACACATCACACCAGTACAGCTGCAGTCTAAAAACTGATTCAATCATAAATCTGTCAGCATAAAATAAACTCAATATTCAAAACTTATTTTTTTTTAAATTTCCCCTCTGAAAAATTATCTTAACAGTAATGTCCATAAAATTAAATAAATCTAAAATATTTTCAAACTTCCAAAACACAATTGTTGAACACTGTAGAGAAGCGAGAGAGACAGACGCATATGATGAAACAAGACAGGGTCAGAGGACAATCAGGGGAGGTAACACACCTTCAGATGTAGCAATAGGGCACTGATATCTACGACCATGACTTGTAGTGCGTCTATATCTACAACACTGAGACCATGCACAGAGTCTATGTCCGTGCTCAACCCACATGTATTCTGGAAACGGTAAACAAATAGATGTTAGGCGTTAGCAGCTAGCGAAGCTCTCTGCAGGTCTCCTATCACATCTACGTATGTAGAAAGTGATATGTCTGGGCCTGAATAAGTTTTCAACTTTCCAGCAAACTTTTAATTCCAGAACGTCTAAAATCTTCAACATGTTTCCTTTCTTACCACAAAGTGAATATCCAAAATTTCAAATTGTCAACTCACAAAAAGTAATTGTGAACAGACTGAGATAAGGAAAAGAAATTGAAACTTTTCCAATCGTCAGCAGTTTATGAATTCAAAGGAGAACTGCTCCGAGGAGAATTCACTCTGTATATCTCATGTCTGGATTGACGGTTATGATAATTTGAAATATCAAATATCACAAAAAGCATTTGAAGTTTATTGATTTTCGCCCACATGTAACTCTGCAGAGAGGTGCTGAAGCATACTTGAGTTAGATTTTACATTAATAACGGAACAAGAGAAAAACTTTAACAGAACTTCAATAATATACAGAATTTTTCAAATATGAACAAAACAGAAAATTAAGACTAGAAAACACAATCAAGAAAAAGTTTTAAAACAGGATTTTACATAAACAAAATTTCTTTTAACTTGGCCATAATGCTACACAATATTTACATCTTACTAAGGATTCACTGGAGAAAATCTCAAGATATTAATGTTTCCAAACAGAATCATCCAAATCTTATCAGTGTACATTTTTTCCTTTGCCCAGAATTCCATGCAATGAGAATTCCATTTCACAATATTCCCCAAATGATTTTTTATTTCATCCAATGAGCTACAGATTACATGTCCTAAGCATTCCTAATTGGAAAAGTCATTTCAGTTGCAGTAAAGTAAGTACATGTATGGATTAATTTTAAAGAACACATGAACACTTTTAAATGTGCTTTTTGTTAATAACTCCAAATTTACCTGTTTAAAAGACATTGATGTACAGCAGACACAAATCGATATTAATACCTTGCAATAATATTTTGAAGGAAACCTGAAATGAATCAGTTATTGGCTGCACCTTTAAGAGAATTTGCCATTCAAACAAACAAAAGATTCTTAATGAAAGAAGTTCCTATATCTATATTTTCTGATTCAATAAACATAATAAGTACATACTATATATGTAAAATATGGAATACCATGTTCCCTTGACAGCAAGTTTATATAGAGCAAAATGGAATTTGAAGGTATAATTACCATCACACAAAGTCACCACAGACTATAACAATTAGTTCTATAATACCTTCTGACAAGCAAATGGCAAATTTGAATTTTTGTTTGTTTATGTTCCTTATATTCCAGAGCTCATTGGATGAAGTTGTGCATATATATGTATAAATATGAGGCTTGTATATATATATAGGTAGAAGCTGTCATTATGTTCAAGTGGAAGAAAGTGATAGACATGGAGAGGTTGTTTCAAAGTATGCAAACAGGTCAGAGGAAAGGAAAGCATTCAGAGAGTGAATGAGATACATGCAGTCATGCAGTCGGTACAAGCACATGATTTTTCTGTGAAATACAACGGACAACTTTAAGAACTGTACGTTGACACTGGTTGCCACACCAAGGGAGGTAACTCTACACATGGGCAATTGTTGAGCTCTGAACCAATCTGGGCCCCATTCAACAAAGTAACCTCAGTACGACAACTGCTGTAAGGCTGTGTTAACATGCAGCAGTAAATAATATTATTGTACTAAAACTGCTTTGTGGAATGGATCCTGGCCAAATTAGACCAAATCTGATGAATTGACATTTTCATGATAATGAGTCTTTCTATCCAACTGCACACAGACGCATCGATATATCATTCACCCACTAGAATCACAGGAAGGACCTGGGACTACATGGTCCTCAGTAAAGCTGATATATGTGTACATGATGCCATCAAGGTGCTTTTAACCATGCCATCAACATGCAGTGCTGCCATGATTATTTGAGTATTACACAAACAAACAGCTTGTCTTCTCACCTTCTCTCTGCTGATGATCTGCTCGATGTCCTTGATGTCTCCAACCGTCACCTTCTGCGTCTTCAACATCCGTTCTAGAACTGTCAGCCAGTCTCGCAGCTCCCCCACAGACCTGTCAAAGTCCGGCCACGCCGACGATTGTTGCTTCTCCGCTTGGATCACTTTCACTGAAGAAAATATCAGTCATCGAGAACAGTGTAACATTATCAAGGGTTACCTTTTGTTATGAAATAATAAACAGCAATTAAGTCAGATGAGCTGAAGTTGGCTTTGAAGTTGATTCATGTATTATTGCATTTGCAGTGTGTGAAATTTACGCTGGTTCTGTGGTCCCTGGCTAGTAAACATTCATCAGGACCACTAAATGATAAGTTTGCAGGTGGCCAGTGAATTTTGTATTGATAGTTAAATAAATCTACAAATGTTACTTTTGACCAGTGAAGTACAGACAGGACCACTAATTATTGTCAAGTGAGGCCACTCACTGGTCCTGTCATCTAGTGGGACATTTTGAAAGGTTTCTATCCTTGCATAAGTGTGTGTGTGCATGGATGTGCATCTGTGTCTTTGTGTGAGTGTATGTGTGCGCCTGTGTGTTTGTACCTTTGAGTGTGAGTGTCTGTCTGTCTGTATGTGTGTGCCTGTGTATATCGCTGTGTCCTTCAAGCCAGTTCTCAGTCTGCACCTTATGAACTGTGTAGTGTTGGCCTTCTCACCTTGGGTGAAAATCTCTTCCACCATAGCCTCCTGGCGGGTTTTGAGGTTGTCAGCGAGGTTGCGAATGTCCTCCCAGTCGGAGTTGAGTTTGTTCATCTGTGTCTGGATGTTGGAGGGCATGTCGCCGCCCTGCTCAACACACTCCTCCACGTACTGGTGGTACATGCGGTTCACGTTGTCCACGTTCACCTGCCGATTCTGTATCGCAGCCTTCGTTGTCTGGCAATGAGAATTGGTAACCAAGTGTCAACATTTACATTGGATGTTAACAAACTGATGAAATTATATAAAACATCCGTAAAATATTAAAAGCATTTCATTTCTTCTATAAGATTAAGTTTCAATTATGGTTTTACAGGCATGTTAATGTAGGTTCTCATAATGGAAGTTTCATGAAACTCAATGGGATTTTGTTAGTATCTCTAAATGTACAGATAGTTGCATCCTTATTAAGCACATGCTACATAAAGGTAGAAAAATGTCACTTTGAAATAATTAATTGGTATAAGTACATAAGTCTACCCTGTCCTCCTCACAATATATACTAAAAGCCTCATGTTGTTCCTGACATTAATCTTTCAAATAACCAATGTTTGTTGCAAGTTCCCGTGAATTTACCAAACAATCCAATTTAGAGAGAAACAGACTTTCAGATTTGAGTTAGTCTCACTGTTTCTGTTACCTCTCATTTTAATTGGAACCTAGCACTATGGAGCATGACCTACCTCAGGGTCTACTATGACGGAGTCGTTGCCGTCTGCAGATGTAGCTGATGAGATAGGGCCGGACTGGGTCTCCAGAAGTGTCTTGGTCTCTGTCATCCATGACTGCAGCTGACATGTCTCCGCCTCATACAGTCGGAGGCGCCGCAGGTAGCTCTCGATCTCATGGATCTTGTCGGGAACATCCTTGATTACCTGTTGACAAACAACCAAGCTTATATTTTGCACATTTTAACACAAATATGCAGCTTATCTCAAACTCAGAACTTGACAAATGTCTAGAAGCTGCTTCTTAGTCAACCCTAATTTTAATAGACAAGTTTAATGTGCTTGATGCCTGAGAAGTTATCATGAAATGCATTTTGAACGATTGAAGCTATCATAAAATGTCTCCGAAGTAAATTACAGCCAGCTGAACCAGTACCAGAAAACCAATCTACAGAGCTTTATAAACAAGTACAATGATAACTGTGTGTTCTCTCCATGTATGTCATAAACTTATTAGTGCTTGTCCACTGACTCATCCAAAGGTTGAAAAACATCAAAATATTTTACTGGGTTTAAAATTATATAAAAGACATCAACATTCACAAGCAACTGTCGAAGACTTCCAGGCATGAGTTTCTTCAATGAAGCCATCATTGTACTTCTGAATTCCCATAACATATAACATGGACGAAAAAATCCTGGTTGTAGTTACCTCCCCTGATTCACTAACCCAATCCAACTCTGGTGAGTTTAATGCTACTTAATGTGCAATACACCATGGTTATCTACCTTCTTCCATCGACTGTTGAGGTTCTGTAGATCCTTCTGGATATTCTCAGAATCCTGATTGGACAGAGATTCCGTCTTCAACATCTTGATCCCGTTTCTGTTAACGGCATCCAGACTCTGTTGTCGAGGTCCGATGTCGTCTTCACGATCCTGACAACAGAAGCAACAGTTTCAGTGTTTGAGTGTGTGAGTGAGTGAGTTTGGCTTAGCGCCACTTTGAAATACACAATGCCATTTTAGAAAGTGGTCAAATGTAACATATGTTATATTTGGGATTACACTTTCTAAGTAAAGTACAGATTCTAGCACTTTTTTTTGTTTTTTTGGGGGGGTTGAGTCCCATCTGGGATTCGAACCCACACCCTCAGAGTCAGGCACCTAATTGCCAGCACACAAAGTCAGACGCCTAGACCGCTCAGCCACCGCGGCTTCCACAAAAAATGGAAGTCGGACAACTGGTAGTCTAGACTACGGACTTTGTGTACCCCTCTGATAAGTGTTAATTGGCACGGCTCCCATGGCCGAAAGCTATGAAATACACAATGCCATTTTAGAAAGTGGTCAAATGTAACACATGTTATATTTGGGATTACACTTTCTCAGTAAAGTACAGATTCTAGTACTTTTTGTTTGTTTGTTTTTTGGGGTTGAGTCCCATCTGGGATAACACTTATCAGAGGGGTACACAAAGTCCGCAGTCTAGACTACCAGTTGTCCGACTTCCATTTTTTGTGGAAGCCGCGGTGGCTGAGCGGTCTAGGGCGTCTGACTTTGTGTGCTGGCGATTAGGTGCCTGACTCTGAGGGTGTGGAGTTCGAATCCTGATGGGACTCAAACCCCAAAAAACACACACAAAAAAAAAGTACTAGAATCTGTACTTTACTGAGAAAGTGTAATCCCAAATATAACATATGTTAACGCCACTTTGCCAAACATTTTAGCTAAATTATTACGCCTTTGGTGAATCATAAGTGCACGGGTAAACTAAGAAATGTAATCAGTCTAAATCTGTGTAACAAACTCTCAAGAATAGATTTCAGGCATGTCCGAAGGAAGTAAATTTGTTCAGGGAACTGTAGACTAAGGCTTAAGGGAACTGGGGTATCTTAGACTAGCCCCCAATCCCTAGCAATAGCATCTGAATTTTGTTTTGTGAATGATTTTATGATATGGCCTGATCAGACACATGCTTCTGGTCCGTTACTTGAACAAAGATCAGCACAATCAGACCACAACATACACATGGATCATGTGAGAAAGGAATTGAAAATGGTATTCTCCAGGAAATCCCACATGATACTGCTGAAAAAAATTCAGCTTTTAAATCTCACCTTGACCTTCTCTAGAAGGTCCTCGAGGTACTCCTCGTCAGGGCGGATGGTGGAGGACAGAATATTCTCGGTCTCATCGATCCAGAAGAATAGTTCATCCATGTCATCAGTGAACTCGCTTGTCTTCACGCTTCCTTCATCAATCCTGGTTAAACAACAACACACATGTCAGATACAGCACCTACAGCTCACACAAGCAGCCTGTCAGTGGACATTGTGAGTCACTTCAAGCTGCTGACAAATAATTGGAACCAAAGTAACTGAAAATTTTAAGCTTTAACATAAGAATTATCATAAGGAAAGTCAGACTTCAGATCAGGGGTATTCATCAAATCCAAACAGTCTGCAGTTCATTTTGGTCAAGCGCTTTGTGAAAAAACTGCTAGATTTTAGACACACACAATTGCTTCCTCTGCATGTTCAACAGTCTCATACTCACTGACATGTTTAATCGTTATCGTTCATCAAAACATTTCTCAACAACTTGTCACAGACAAGTTAATCTGCAAGAATGTTGGGTTGTTTTAATCAACAATGAACTCAGCTTTGAGCAGATATTTCTGATGATCATGGAGTGGTTTTTGTGATGATCATGGACAGAGTTAGTTTGTGTTAGCTCAGTAACCCACCGATCATGTCTCTCGGTGACGTCTGTGGAAACAACCCTCCATCGCTGGTTGATGGCGGCCAGCTTGTCACGGAGTCGGTCAGCATCAGGTACTGCTGATTGTCGGATGATCTCATTGCCGGCAGCGTTCATACTGTTGACTGTGCCTTGCTGGACACGCACACTATTCTCCAGTTCCTAAATGAAGAAATATTAACATGTCTTTGATGCTAGGATCCAGTAGTACAGTCAGGATGTAGGGCAGGTGAGTGAACAGGGTTCTAACCTCAAGTAAACAACATGGTGGACCCGGATGTCATCAAACCTTCAAGTAACTTCATCTTTGTGAGTGGAAAAGAATAGTCTCTGAATATATAATTTTGATTGTAACAAATAATAAACCCATTTAAATTGAAAAGGAGCCCAAGTCAGACCAGAGATTCAAGCAGTAAACATTTTCAAAATGCTAACAAGGGGAGACTGTGCAGGATCACTTGTAGTATAAGAACTCTCAATCTCATTACATCTCAGGCCAGCCTAGTAGTTTACAGATTTGGAGTTGGTCCATAGGTTAGGAAAGGAAAAAAAATGCTTTGTACTGGATTAATTTAATCATTTAAAGTCTCATTTGGATTGGTAGCTGACAAAAAACCCCACCTATTCATACTTGGAAAATTTCTGTTTCAGTCTAATAAAAACCCTGTATTATTGGTATTATCAAACTATTTAATGGTCAGTAGGATCAACAAAACAACATCATATCTGTAAAACTGTGTAGATAAAACCTGAGAAACTTCATACTGATTTCATAGTAAGGATTGCTCCTTTAATACATGATTCATAAAACCATTCATTACTTTCCCTGTATATCTCTGACCTTGTGTGGAGAAGTGAAAACTGTTTACCAAGTACCTGTCTGCCAGCACTATGTACTACAATGTGTACAGATGGCAGGGTTCTCATGGGGAGGCACCATGGTGCTACACTGTTCAGTTGCTGGGCTACTGACAGCACACATGATATCAACATTAGATTTGGATAGACATTTTCACAAATTTCTGGTGTGACTTGTGGAACAATACAGCCGGACACCATGTTCCTTCCTAGCAGATGAACGTCAATAATCTTCACATGACTGGTCAATACTGATCAAGTGGCGAGTCAATATTCAAGGTCAGTGTCTTGATTTTGAGGTCCTCATCAAAACTACTTTGTCACATGTATGAAGTAACCAATGGAATTGCAAGAATCTCAATAAAGGCAGAACCACAGTGAACACAAGGTGAATGTGTGAGTGAGTGAGTCTAGTTTTATGCCGCTTTTTGAACAATATTCCAGTAATATCAACACCAAAAATGGCTTCACATACAGTATCCATGTGGGGAATCAAACACAGGCCTTCTGCATGACAAGCAAACGCTTTTACCATAAGGCTACATTCCCCACCCAAACCAAAATAACCAAACTGAAAATGAGTCTGTTTACTTACAGTGAACACTCTGTCACTGGCCTGTATATCGTCAGTCTGCTTGGCGTCGGCCAGTTTGGTCTCAGCGGTGTCTAACCATACTGCCATATCCTTCATGTCAGTGTGGAACTGGCGTCACTGCTCCATGGCCTTGTTCCACCGGCTGAAAGAGCCATCATTTATGGTTAATTACATGCAGAAATACACAATCACTTCAAGAACATTAGGGTGAAGTATAGTGTTGTAAACACCAGACATCAGGGAATATATTCTGTAACAACCAAGTCCACAAGTGACACATAGAGCTTGGAATGCAAAGAAGATGAACAAATAAGTTACAATGTAATATTGGGTACTGGTTGATAACATTCCATAAACAACTGGTGTCAGTATTTACAATATGTCACCCTGCATGACACACCAGTAACTATTGTAGTTAGCACACTGTTTAAAAACATTTAACTCAAGTTCTAACTCCAAGCAGTGACAGATCTGAAATCAACTAAACATCAAGGCCTACAGTCTGTTCAGCTAACTGGAAGCAGACATCTTGTTGTTCCTTTGATGCCATTAACCAGTTAGCGCAATTAGAGTTACCTCCCTTGCACTGTCTGGGCAAAGTCTGCCGGGAACAAAATATGCTGTTGCCGTTTCAGCTGAAACTGGCATTAACACTCAAAGTCACTTTTGAAATCTACAGTCATGATAAATATCCTCCTTTGTGAGTGAGGAAGACTGATTTACTCAACAATCAGCACTAACTGGACTCATTTTGTCCATGCCACAAATAAGAGGGTTCAAATTTGAGCCACATTGTGGGGAACTTTGATGTGATCAAGACACACATTCTGCACCTAATTATATAACTACCAACTAGCAATTATAGGAGTCTGGATGAGTGAATGTCCCTATTCTTATGTGTTTTCTGGTCTCAGTGACTCCAGGTATCATCACTAAACAGCAGTTGTACATCCAGGTATATACCGCTGTCCAGTGTTGTGCGTGTTGCTGACTGCAGCAGTAAACAACAAACAAACAATCAAACAAACTATTCCAAATAACCGACTTTGAAATGATTGTACTGTAAGACTGACTTACGACCTGCCAGGGATTAGCGAATATCTGTCACCAATAGATGAATCGACTGTCAAGTCATGGATGATGTCATCTTTGATTTTTTTGCGACAATGCCTTAACATGACATGGGATCAATAAGGGCAACTTAAGCAGTGAAAACAATGGAACTTGAATTCACAATCAGCATGAAGCAAGCATGGTTTGAATTTCACCAATATCCAAGCTGATATGGGTGCTATATATATATGGGTGATAAATGACTCAAATTGTATGTTATTGTATGTTGGTAATGTATGCAGTTATTGTATGCTGTTATTGTATGCTGTCATTGTATGTTGTCATTGTATGCAGTTATTGTATGCTGTTATTGTATATTGTCATTGCATGTTGTTATTGTACATTGTTAATGTCCGCTGTTATTGTATGCTGTTATTGTATGTTGTTATTGTATGCTGTTATTGTATGTTGTTAACTCTTTCAACACCAGTCAACCAGAGGCATTTACTGCCATGACACCGAGTTCCCAGAGACTCTGAGGTCATAGATGAAGCCTATGTTTATGAAGGAAATTATAAGCTTGTAAAACGTTTTTGCTACTACATCCCATACACCATTTAAAAGATCTAATCCTACTGTTGATAAATATGAAGTTTATTTTTAATATTATTCAAATAATACAACTACAACTTAAATAAATTTATATTTGAATGAAAATGTAAGCTTACATTTATAACATCCAGATAAACCACGAAACCAGCAAAAACTATGGCGATTTTTTCCATTTGTGACATGTCATAACATACCCGTGCCTTTTCCTTTTATATTTTCATTTTACGTAATCAGAAAATTATTATAAAAGATTTCTTAAACAATATGTATGGTCGCCTATTTCCGATATCTGTGGCTTTCCGGGCGGTAAAATGACATAACAACGGAAAATACCTCCGCTTTCGCTTCAGATGAATAACATGCGCCGCAAATCGCTTTGATGCCGGGCATCGCTCGAAAAGCTCTGAACATCAACAATATCACTGTACCCTTGCCAAGAGTATTTTCACAGTTGTAAGAAGCGATTTTATTGGATAAAGATTGGTTTCTAATGACGCTTTTTCGCCACAGTCTGCTATAAGGGTCGTGATTGGTCAAAATCAGACACGTGACCTAAGGCAGCCAATCATATTACGGCAATGGATACCGTCCCTCGTAAACGAAAAACTTTAGATTTGGACAAAAGTTTTGGGTAAAATAATGCTATTCTGAACATATTAAGCAAGAAATCGCTACCTATAATGTAAATTATGGAACTTATTGGACGATCGCGCTAGGTTATGACCTGTGACAAAAATGCTTCATGTATGTATTTTCGCATTAAACATCGTGGTCCGAGCGTGAAGATTGAGGCGGCGAGAGCGAGATGTCACTTGTCAGTGACTTGACTTGCATTACATGATCGCACAAAAAGATGGAAATAGTAATTTTATATGTACGTTTGACAACTTTTATGAATGCTGTTGTTGATTTTATTCATTAGTTTATTCAATATATTTAATAATTTCCTCGAAACATCGTTACTTTGCTCTTTGACAATGTTATTGTGGACCCGCTGCCGAAGCATGTGTCCGAGAATCGTTGTTTTCAATAACATTGCGAAAAATAGTTTATAATTTTAATTCTGCTGATAATATATGATAAATTGAAATTTAATAAGTGTTTTCAGACATTGTGAAATGTGATAGATTTGGTATATGAATCAAAAGTCAGGTAGGTTCCTAAAATTATTTCTCATTTTGACGTGACTACTGCCTGGCCGATTAATCGGCCTCCGGTGTCTGGGGACTCATAACGTTGTGGCCGATTATTCAGCCTGCGGTGTTGAATGGGTTAATGTATGTTGTTATTGTATGCTGTTATTGTATGCTGTTATTGTATGTTGTCATTGTATGTTGTTATTGTACGCTGTTATTGTATGCTGTTATTGTATGTTGTTGTATGCTGTTATTGTATGTTGTTATTGTATGCTGTTATTGTACGCTGTTATTGTATGTTGTCATTGTATGTTGTTATTGTATGTTGTTATTGTACGCTGTTATTGTATGTTGTTATCCTACGCTGTTATTGTATGCTGTTATTGTACATTGTTATTGTATGTTGTTATTGTACGCTGTTATTGTATGGTGTTATTCTACGCTGTTATTGTATGCTAATGTATGTTGTTATTGTGTGCTGTTATTGTACATTGTTATTGTACACTGTTATTGTATGCTCTTATTGTACGTTAATGTATGTTGTTATTGTATGTTGTTATTGTATTTTGTTAATGTATGCTGTTAGCGTATGTTGTTATTGTATGCTGTTATTGTACGCAGTTATTGTATGTTGTTATTGTATGTCGTTATTGTATGTTGTTACTGTGTTGTTATTGTATGCTGTTATTGTAGATTGTTATTGTATGCTGTTATTGTACGCTGTTATTGTATGTTGTTATTCTACGCTGTTATTGTAAGTTGTTATTGTATGCTGTTATTGTACATTGTTATTGATTGTATGTTGCTATTGTACGCTGTTATTGTGCATTGTTATTGTACACTGTTATTGTATGTTGTTATCCTACGCTGTTATTGTATGCTGTTATTGTACATTGTTATTGTACGCTGTTATTGTATGGTGTTATTCTACGCTGTTATTGTATGTTAATGTATGTTGTTATTGTATGCTGTTATTGTACATTGTTATTGTACACTGTTATTGTATGCTCTTATTGTACGTTAATGTATGTTGTTAATGTATGCTGTTGTTGTACGCTGTTAATGTATGTTGTTATTGTATGTTGTTATTGTATGCTGTTGTTGTATGCTGTTATTGTATGTTGTTAATGTATGTTGTTATTGTACGCTGTTATTGTACGTTGTTAATGTATGAGTGAAACTGCCATGTAAATCATATTGTAGGATGTTGATACAGGAACATTTTGTCACATACAAGCTATTTACCTCACATACACCATGGAGGACACCCACTGATTGACAAGACTGAATGTACGCTGTTGTACATTTCACCCAGCTGGGTTGTCACCTGTCCATCACACTGACAGGGGAGGAGGTCAACAAGTGCATTTAGTCAGGTAACCTAATCCCAGCTTTGTCGTGACATAACAAAACATATGTCACATCTATTCCTGACATAAACATACATATGTTACAAGATTCTAACCACAATTAGAATTCTTCAGATGACTTATAATCATGTCAGAATCAAACCCAGGCCTCAGGTGTAATGAGCAAATGTTTCATCCTTGAGTGAGTGTAGCTAGTTTGACTCTAAGTAACATTCCAGTCATGTTGTTGACATGGACCCTTGAAAGGTGAGGTACGTCAACCACCAGACTAACGAACTATACCTCTGTTTATATTCCACCAGACTAACGAACTATACCCGTTTATATTCCACTAGACTAACGAACTATACCCCTGTTTATATTCCGCTAGACTAACAAACTATACCCCTGTTTATATTCCGCTAGACTAACGAACTATACCCCTGTTTATATTCCGCTAGACTAACGAACTATACCCCTGTTTATATTCCATCAGACTGACGAACTATACCCATGTTTATATTCCACCAGACTAGCGAACTATACCCCTGTTTATATTCCGCTAGACTAATGAACTATACCCCTGTTTATATTCCATCAGACTGACGGACTATACCCCTGTTTATATTCCACCAGACTAACAAACTATATCCTAGTTTATATTCCACCAGACTAACAAACTATACCCATGTTTATATTTCACCAGACTAACAAACTATACCCCTGTTTATATTCCACCAAACTAACGAACTTTACCCCTGTTTATATTCCACCAGACTAACAAACTATACCCCTGTTTATATTTCACCAGACTAACAAACTATATCCTTGTTTATATTCCACCAGACTAACGAACTATACCCCTGTTTACATTCATGCTGTTTGTTTGATTGTCATGAAGTGTATTCCAGTAATAATATAAACAATATTAAAACATCCAGGACATACTAGAATGTGTACTCTATAAAATTACTGCTGAAATTCTAAAAAAC